GAAAATGACTTTGTAATGTCTTTTCATTCCATTAAACATAATTTAGACACTTTTCTTAGATATTTTCTAAAACAATAGACATTACTGAGAAAAACATTTTGGTTCCAAAGGTCAAATGAAGCTTATAGTTTCAACACTATGAAAGTTACTTTTTGAAATATATATCCTATTTTTCAACTTTATAAACACATCTTTGTTTATTTAAATTTCCCACCTATATGGTTGATCACTCCCTTTCTATTTAGGTACTTAGAAACTCTGGCACTAGCTGCCATCACCCAAAATGTGGTGTTCTTAATGCTTCTGGAACAGGGTTATTTATTAAACCAGCTTCACAATTGTTTCATCTCTTCTGCTTAGTGTTTTCTGAAGCACTCTGTCTGAAAAGGAAAAACTATGGAAATAATCCCAAAGAGTAAACATCCCATGGTCTTATTTTTAGAAAAAAAGGACAAGGGGGGTTTTCCACCAAGCATTCTGAGCTTTATTCTTTCCCTGTTATTCACCAACTGTGGTTTTATTTTTCATGTTTTGCATAATGAAACACTAAACTAAAACCCTCGTGCACTCACATGAGAGTCTGACCTAATACTACTTCAAATAAAACTACATTCTTGAAGAAAAGTCCTGACTAGAAACCAAAAATAATTAACACCTATGATCTTAAAAATAATATAAAGTGAAAAACTGAAGTGTTCTATCCTAGTGTCTGCGGGCAATGAAAAGAGGAAAAAACAAAAGGGGGGACGGTAACTCAATTTTGCAGTGTTCTTGTTCCCCAAGGGACGTCCCTAAAGGGGGTTTCTTCCTGGGCCCAATCAACTCCTCTGTACCTTCTGTACCTCCTCCAGCTAATGCTGGAGCACCTTCAGTAACAACAGCTTTTACTCTCACCTCTCAGGCTTCTAATTATTCCTATTAGTTCAGGGGTGAGGGAGGGATACCCAGTTACATTCTACTCTCCTTGCTATCCTTTAATCCCATCTCTTAGGATCTATTAATTTATTAATGTTTTCCAAAGTTGGCTTTTTATTTCCAGTCCCATTGCCATCATATTAATGTTTACAACTAATATTTGCTACCTAATATTTGTCAGAGCATCAGAGTTCATTCAACAATTAGAAAAGAATTTTATACGTAGAGGTTCAACCTTAGTCTGTCCTGATATGCTTGTAACCAGAGCAGTGTTACACTTGACTTAGTTCTATTGTGACAGACCTAGAATCCCACAACCTGAAATAAATCCTAAGAAACTATGGTCAATCAGGGATGCTGTCCTCCCTTTGACAATGAGGATTCCACTCCACTAATTAGTACTACAAGTTCCCCCGGTGAGAATTGTATCCATTTTCTGGATGCAGTGTTCTGTTACTCTCCATTATTTGTTGATGGGATACTGAATCCCAATTCTTGTTGAACTTCTTAATTATTGGCTGGGTCCCACCCCACTGACTAATTTGGAACTAAGGCACAGCCAAATAATTGACTTTAAACACTATCTACTAATACTTGTTATTCTGAGCCTCTCACACTGTCAGTGGCATGTCCAGTTAGACTAATGTCATTGATCATTTCAATTGCTGGTTCTACAAAGGGTCAATAACCTTGTTCTATATGGGCCTAGCTTTCTTCCATTTCTAAATTCCCATGAAATGTTTTTTTTTTTAATAATTCTTTATTATGCCATCTCATTCATAAAACCCAATGAAATAGGTTATCATTATCTACATTTGACTAAGGAGATGTTTTAAACTCAGAGATATTGCATTGTAGTATGTACACAAGGTCTCATGGCTAGGCAGTGGCAGAGTTGGAATCCAGACACAGGTCTTTTGATTCCCAATTTCATGTTGTCTACACTACATTCAGTTGCCTTTTGTCACTGTTCATAAGGACTATTGCAAGAGATGTATAACACACCTCTCCATCTTCTAAATCATCATATATATTACCAAGAATATTCTTAAAGGCTCACTTCCATTTTATTAATCTCATGCTTTAAATTAATCTCCAATGATCTCTGTTTGTTTATAAAATAATCGCCAATCTCCACACAAGCATTTGAAGGTCTCTATAATCTGGATCCTAATTACCTGTCAGTATTTACTTCCCATACCACTTCATAATTCAAGTCAACTGTACTCCCTAAAATACATTAGTCAGTCAGGCCAGTTTAGCCTGTTTCTAAAGTTTTGTGTTCCTGTTTTTAATTAAATCTTTCCAATTGTCAGAGCCCAGTTCAAGCCCTACCACAAACAGGCTCCTATGACTTCAATGAACAGAACTTATTCTGACAACCTACTTTTACTCTAGCCATACTGGCATTTTAACAAAAATTATCCTCTTTACCACACAGACTAAATCAATAAAATTTCCCTCCTCCAAATCCTCACAATTTGTTATAAATTTTTCTCAATTAAAGATTAACTTCCAAGAAATAAATACACTGAAAATCTATAAGACCAGGTATATTTAAATAACTTTTATCAGGAAAAAAACAATTACCTATCATTTTATAAATGTTTTGCTTTCATAGTACCATATATCTGAAAGATTTAAATTTTCTGATTTCTTCCATTTGCTAAGTTTTATATAAAAAAAATCCATAGTATAATTTTATCTATTAGCTTAGTAAATCATAAAGAATAGAGGGATATTCTTTTCTCTCTACCCTCAGCTTGGAATAGATATACTATATTTATTTTAAATACTAAATTTTTTTTTAATATGGTACTTTTTAATTTTAAAGTGCAATTCAAATTTGAGACAGAGTGAGAGCTTTTGTGAATTATCAGGAATGGTGCAATCTGCCTTGAAGAAAGATAAAGTGATTGAATTACCTTAAACTTCTATAAAATAAATGAAATTCCCAAGTTATCTTCACATTGATTAAAAATCTCAACCATTACTGAGATCAACTCTGATTGTAGTGACTGTTTATCTACCTGCCTACTCTGCCTTTTTGTTGCCAGGGTTTCCCCAGAGGCTGGCTTCCCTGGGGCTAATTTACTCCTCTTTTGAGACAAAATAGCTGAAGTTTAACTATATGGAGATGAAAGCTCTACCCATCAAACCCTCCAGATAAAACTCAAGAGAGACTTTGTTGGCAAAGTGTAATTAAAATAACACAAATCTTTACAATTCATGCTAAATGTATCAACATAACTTACTCAAGTCAATTAAGAGTTTCAGGCAAAAAAGACTGTAGTTAGAAATTGCATTCTGAGGTCTACCTAACCTAAATAGAAAAATAAAATTTAACAATGAAATGTTTTTTTAAACAAAACAACTTTATCAGCTCTGGTAGTCAACTACTCATTTTTTGAAAGGGAAATCTGTACTTATTTGTAACCCACAAAAAAGAGAATTTCCAAAAACCAATTAGTCACCTGGAAAATGTTTAAATAAACCTGTTACTATAGAGAAAAAAAAAATACCAAAAGGAATAACCCAGAGAAGTCTTTTCTCCTTACCAATATAATTATAAAAATAGCTGAACATTCTTAAACAATAACATTCTATTTAAAATACATTAATACTGATTTGTTTACAAAGTGTCAAGTTACCCTCCATTTTCATTGTCCATCCATTTTCCTATATTTTAAGACTAAAATCATATTTGCAGCACATCTTGAATCTAGTTATAAAAAATTTGGGGGGCCTCCCTGGTGGCACAAGAGGTTATAAGACGCAGCCTATAAATTTGTCCGCAGACTCTGCTCCTGGCCAGGGAGCAACCCACATGGTGCAGCAGACCTCTCCTGACTCGCCTGCTGCTCCCCTCAACAGTGTACTTGGGTAGATCTGCCTGTTCTGTTCCCCTGCTCTGTCTCTGGTGAATCCTCTCACTACCCCCTCCCTGCCCCACACATACACATCTGGCCTGTACCCCAGCTCTTGTATGTATAAATAAATAAATCTTTAGAAAAAGATTAAAAATTTACTATTTTTTACATTACGATTTTTCTAAAAACTAGACATGATAATATATGTAAATTCCTGATATAATTGAATCTGTTACATTCTGTACTTACATTTGGCCTTTCCACTAGAAGTACTGACATGCGGTGATAGAACCAAATTGTATACTTTCTTTGAAAAGCTCCATTAATTAGGAAACAAGCCTATATGCTACTAAAAACAAATTCAGTAACTCTCATTCTGTGTTTCTGAAAAACATGATCTTTAAAGAGAAATTTTAAATACCAAATGTCAGAAGAAAATAAGATTTCTTTCCTTTCCAATAAATACCTGATTAAGAGAAAGCATTGGTTTAGGGGAAATACGTGCGTGTGTGTGTGTGTGTGTGTGTGTGTGAGAATACACACACATATATATATTATTCACTTTCATTTTAAGATGGTGTTTACCAAAATATCATAAATACTTAATAGCAACTGTTCCTACTGCTTCTAGCAAAAAGCAGTAAAATGAAACATAAACCTCAGCTGTGAAAGCCCAAGAGTTTTCTTTTGCACTTCATCACTCCATTTCCCCACCCCCTGTTTAGGCTAGCCCAGATTCTAACGAATCTCAACTGAATTCCAAACAGAAAAACTGTGAGCACCAATGAAACTATTAATCATTATAACGGAAAAAACAAGAACAGTCAAATACCCAACACAGTGATAGCTAAGAAATACCATATTTGGAAGAGGGAGGAATCACAAATGCCAATCCAAATTTTTATTTTACACTTTGCTTATAAAGCCTATAAAACATTCAAGATAGCAAGCCAGTAAGGAAGTCCATGCTTAAAAGTGGAAGCGTGGCTAAGAAAGTTAATGAAAATCTTCAATTTGAAATCACAAACCCAGGCTCACAGTGTTCAATTTATCAGAATTAATACCAAATCTCATTTGCAAAAAATCCAGATCTTTAGGATTACACTGTGTTCTTCAAGATAATGACCTACTAAACTGGGTATCAAGATTACTTCTTAAAGTACAAAATATATCTAAAATTATGATGTTTTCCTACTGCCCCAAAGAAATACTCACAGAATTAATTATTCCTTTTAGAGCTTGAAATCCGCCTGTAACAGGAAAAACTTGTTCCCTGGAATCAGCAATTCTTTCGAGCTTTAGAAAAAGGAGGAAAATATAATAAAGAGGTGGGTGAGATACACAGCACTTCATACACTTCATTCATTTTGTCTTAGTTATGCATTTCTGAAAAATTATACTATAGGATAATATGGCCTGGAAAGAATTGAAAGTGATTCTTCCTTAATAAATGGTCAAGAAATTTAGGGTTTTGTTTTCAGTCATGAAGCCTAACAAAAACAAATATTACTAACACAAGACTCAAGCAAGACATATGGGATTTTCGTTTAAAATCCTTAATAAGTAATTAAATGTGTCATAGTAAGTCATCAGTGAAATAACTTGATGAGCTATCCTTAAGATAATTATGTGACATAATTAAAGTTTGAAGGGCTGATGTACTCACCTGAGCTTGTTCAAAATCAAGGACACCAACACAATATACTCTAGCTCCAAGTGACCTGGATGTCTTTGCCTTGAAAGAGGGAAGATAGAGGAAATGTGCAAAAAGAAAGAAAAAGGTTAATTATTCAAATATCAAGCTACCCATACAGCAAAGTACAGTGGGGTGTAAAGAACAGTTTCAGTTCAATACTCACCTCTTTTTCTGCATATTGTGGCACCAGACCATCCAGCTTACCATCTGTCAGAGCAATTATGATACTGGAGGTTTTAAAAGCTCCTGATTTCTGAATTTGTTCATTTGCCTGAAAATGAAGAATAATTATCCAACCCACAATTTAATCTTAACTTTTAAACAACATGTCCCAGCAAGCTGAACTTGTAAGTCTAACAAAATCAAAATATTAGAGATAGGCTTATAAAACATTGTTATGTGCTTATTTTATTAGAAATATGCATATGTTCATGTTACAGAGTAGTTGTTTTTGGTTGAAATGATAAACATTTTAGCTTTGATTGAACAATCTGAATGTAACCACGGAGAAAGTGGAAAATTCCTTAAAAGGCAAAATGCTATCCAAATGTTTCTTATCACCACGGGGTACACAATGTTTTCTATCATTCTTATCCCCAGAACTTAAAATTTAAAAAAAAAACTTTAAGATAAATACATAAGTGGACTGGATTTTCCTAGAAAAATAATTTATTCCAATACACAATAAGAAAACATTCTCTCCCAAATACATGAAGGAACTTACGAGCTTTAGTCCTTCATGGATGTATGTCTCTCCTGAAGGCTTCACATTTTTTAAATTCTCCAAGCCTATGCCAATATTGTATCTGAAAATAGGTATTATAATATTAAATGAAAGAAAAATAAGCAAAGATCACACTAAGCACTTCTCAAAAACACAGCAGTAATTGATACTAAGTTTTCTTCAGTAAAAAGGAAAGAAAAGAACATGAGTTTTGAGGGCAGTTTGTTGGTCATACTTTTCTCCTTTCTCCAAAGAGCATCTGAATTTTAACTACAAAATATCAGAGCACTGGGGCCTCCCTGGTGGCACAAGGGGTTAAGACACAACCTATGAAGCTCACCGCAGCCACTACAGCACTAGTTCGATCCCCAGCCAGGCAGGTAACCCACATGACACAGCAGATCTCTCCTGACTTGCCCGCTGCTCCCCTCAGCAGTGTATTTCAGTTGATCTGCCTGTTTTGCTCCCTACTCTGTCTCTGGTGAATCCTCTCATCCCCCCAAACTCTGGCCTGTACCCCAGTTCTTGTTTGTATAAATAAATAAATCTTTAAAAAAAAATCAAAGCACTATCAAAGAGAACTGCCCTGAAAAATCTAGGTATATTTTAGATATTTTGATCTGAGAAGAGATATCTCATCATAAGTAATAAAGACATTTTCCTTCAGTCAAAAAGAAACAAGAATTGAGTAGGTCAGCTTAAGTGAAAAGGTATTTTTGAAGCACTCGCTCAAGTTCCCTACAAATTGAAAGTTTTCTTTGTTACCTGAAGATTCCTAAAACATATTATTTAACCAATACTTGTGGAAACTAACATTTGGGACTTTGCCCCTGAGTCACAAGTCTCATGTCCCAGTCACTTATGTAGCATCTCATCTTCTCACCCATCCAGACACTAGTTCATTCTCTTTAATATTGTAGAGACTTAATAAATATTTCAATAACAAAGACTGGCTAGATGGCAGGATGAAGGAAAGGAGAAATGTCTGATACTAGATTCTTGGGATAGGTAATATGAATGAAAAAAGATGAAAAACCATAGAATAACATTTTTTTATCACAACTAGTTGTCCCACTGAAGCATGTTTAAATGAAGTATGACAACACTAAGCTATTTTGTGTGTATAAGTAAGAAAAGATTTTTTCCGATATTTTAAATACAGAGCCAAAGACCCACAGAATATTTAAACTAAAGAAACCACAGAATATAAAGAGTGAACTATAATAATGTAAAACAATCCACAATAAATGCAAAGTTTCTTTTAAATTTAAAAGATAAATAGAAATCTTTCTAATACATTATTTTCAGAATTTTAATGTTTAAAAGGAAGCAAAGAAAATGTCTTTCAACTTAAGACTTGAAATGGTAAATGGAAGTATAAAGCTTCAAGCAAAACATGAAAAGCACTCACACTAATGAGGACAATAGATGAAAAGAGATAATAAAAAAACATATTATCTGAACATCGAGTAACTTACTGGGATGATAAACAAACATGTGTATGTATGTATACACACACACACACATATAGATGTTGTCTCTTTTCATAATGAGTTTAAAATCTACCTATGCTGAGCCTTTCCCTAAATTCATGACATTCTTTTTTTTCTAAAAAGCTCCAAATATTATACCCATATTCAACTTGCACTACAATGAACTATTTTTCCTCTTACAAAATTCTATTTTAAAATAATTTAATTCAATTTAATATTTTACTTCTCAAATAGACTGAAAGTTTATAGCTGACTATCACCACATCCATTTTTTTCTTACATTGTTGTTCATTTTTCTGTACAGTAATTGGTTACTCCCCTCAGGTGTAGTCCCCATAGATCTCCCACACCATAATACCTGTGAACCATCACTATGGTCCTTTGACTCCACTCTCTTCCCCTCTCCTGTTGTTGGTCTTAGATCTATGGTCAGCTTGACAGTTCATTGATTTTAATGTAACTTCCTAGGCTGCACTTATAACTTAGAACATCTTTGCAAAGTAAGTATTCAATAAATTTTTCAAATCTACCATAGGAAAAAAAACTCATAATTCCACAGATGATTGAGTGAATTACATAATTTAAAAGCTTGTTTTATCTAAATATTTATGCTAAGTATCTATAGAAACAACTTGAAACTGATTTCCCCTGAATGCAGATAAAACCCAAATATTTGGTGCTTCCCAGAAATGAGTGGCAGAGTGTCCTCAAGCATTAATGTCTGCTGCCAAGAGGGAAATGAAAGAGACAACTGAAATTTCAGTTTACGTGACAGATTTGCATGGTAAAAACAGCCTTCACCATTCAGGTCAGATTCAGCTCACCATTACCTCCAGAACCAGACAAAACTGGCAGAAAAATCTAAGTTGAAAAAATTTTTCAAATGAGGAATTTGGTAACTTTTGGAAAGGTAGATCTCTGCTAGCTTATTCACTAAAAGATACACAGCATTTTTTAAGTTTCTAGCCATATCCAAACCTGACTCCATAATGTTCTGTCTGCCCAGAATTCCAATGCCTTTGCAGCTGCATAATCATAGGAGGAAAAGTGCCCCATGCCCACAGCCAGTAGCAACAAAGCATGTGATTCCTGATCTTGTCTTCTTCCACTGTAAACACAGCCTGTCAGCCTCCTGAACGTCATTTAAGAAAAAATGAAACCTAAAATATGGGAATATAGATCTCAGGTCTTTGAAGGAGCCCAAGAAACTAAAAACGTGTCCTAAATTTCTCTAATTATTTTTTTCTTTAAGATTTATTTATTTATATAAGCAATGGGTACAGTCAGAAGTGCGGGAGGGTGAGAGAATTCACCAGAGCAAGAGCGGGGAACTGGACAGGCAGACTGATGAAATACACTACTGAGGGGAGCAGCGGGTGCAGCAGGACAGGTTTGCGTGCCTGTGGGACCCTCGTGGGTGGCTGGTGATCAAACCGGCGCTGCAGAGGCTGCCGGCAGCATCACAGCCCAGCGCTCAACCGCTGCACCACAAGGGGAGGCCCCTAAATTTCTCTATTACTAAATAATTGCTGGGAAACAAAATGAGGTAGCAAATTGAAACAGAATTCATGTGGTCTATATTGTGACTTAAAAAGAGAACTCTAGGGCCTCCCTTGGTGGCGCAGCGGTTGAGCGCTGGGCTGTGAAGCTGCCTAAAGCCTCTGCAGCGCCGGTTCGATCCCCGGCTGCTCCCCAGCCACCGGAGGAGGGTCCCACATGGCACGCAGACCTCTCCTGCTGCCCGCTGCTCCCCTCAGCAGTGTACTTCGGTCCTTCTGCCTGCTCTGCTCCCCGCTCTGGCTCTGGTGGATTCTCTCACCCTCCCACGCTTCTGACTTTACCCAGTGCTTGTATAAATAAATAAATAAATAAATAAATAAATAAATAAATAAATAAATAAATAAATAAATAAATAAATAAATAAATAAAATAATTTAAAAAAAAAGAATACATCACAACCAATTTAAAAAAAAAGAGAACTCCAAAGAAAAGCAAGAGAGAAAATGATAAAAACAAACAGTAAAAAAATAGATATATTATAAAGAACAGTTTCAATCCAACATCATCTTTGAAGAACAGCTTCACTGAGTCTGACTTTAACAATATGTCTTCAACTGCAGGAATAGCAATAGTGAAACTTACTGAAAGTCCCTCAGTATTTGTTGTGAAGCTGTAGTCAAGGATACTGCTTATCTTCACAGATACTGTCCCTTATAACAGTCTCAAGGCAAAACTTTTTTTGCCATTCTGGAGTAAGCCCTATACACTTCCTCTTTTTTTAAAAAAAATATTTATTTATTTATGCATACAAGAACGGGGGTACAGGCCAAAGGTAGGGGGTGGTGAGAGGATTCACCAGAGACAGAGTGAGGAGCAGAACAGACAGATTGAAATACACTGCTGAGGGGAGCAGCAGTGAGACAGGAGAGGTCTGCTGTGCCATGTGGGTAGGTCCCTAACGGGGATCAAACTCATGCTGCAGTGGCTGCAGACTGCTTCATAGTGCTGAGGTTTAACCCCTTGGGCAACCAGCGAGGCCTGTATACACTTCCTCCTTTCTGCCAACTACAACTAAATAAACTGTTTCTTCCCCTGACTGTGGGGAAACTTCCCAGTAAATATCTTACTCATTTACAAATTTACGCTAAGTTCCTCTGGCCAACACATCCCTCCCCCCAAGACCTTAACTACTAATTTTCTACAATGTTAATATTTCCATGTAGTTGCAAATACTTCTTAGAAAGAGGCAAAATTTAAGTAAATAAAATGGGATATTAAGCTCTTAGCTTTTTTTAATTGAGAATCAAGGAACCAAACTCTAATCACTTTCTTCTTTACTTATTGATTAAATAACAGAGGAAGGGAGGAGGCAAAAATACAATGTCTCATTTTTTATCTATAAAATTAACACTGTCAGTTCTTTAGCATCTGTTACAATCCCCCCCTCCCCCTCCACCCTTGCTGAGGAGGGAAAGGAATTGCCAAGGAATAGCAAGGCCTCCGGGTCGGTAGCCTCTGTAGCGTAGGTAGCCTCTGTAGCATAGGTTAGATTCGGGCTGGCCAGCCAGGGAGATACCCACATGGCGTGACAGACCTCTCTTACCTCCCCTCACCAGTGTCTTCAGTCCATCTGCCTGTTCTGCTCCCCACTCTGTCTCTGGTGAATTCTCTCACTGCCCCCTCCCCCGCACCTCTGGCCTGTACCCCAGTTCTTGTATGCATAAATAAATAAATCTTTAAAAAGAAAGAAGGAACAGCAAGGGATGGGGATATAGTAACTACAAAAGCCATGCACTGTGCACTCTGCATTTTTTCTCCATGCAAAGAATATTTGATTGTGGAAAGTGCGTATAATATCAGAGCTAATATAAAGGTATTTTTATAATAGTTGCATAATGAAATGGTTGACAAGGAATTCTTACTTGCCCAAGTAACACAAATAAGATAAAGCTTTATTCTAAATACCTTCTACTAGTGACTAAAGATGTAACAATAATACAATATATTTCTATAGAACTTGAACTTTCTCATGCCATATCATTTGAACTTTCAAGATGTTAAAACTCTTTCCAGATTTATTCAATCAATT